ATGGAGCAGTTAAGAGACTTGGTCTTACTAACAGACATAAGATTAAAAGGAAATTTAGGGACATACAAAACTGAGGATAGGGATACAGGGTCCAGGTCAACATTACCAACACCATAAATGGAGGATGTGGAACCATTAGCAAGGGTAACAAATTGTGATGTTGAGCAATGAGAGAGGGAAGAAAACACACCTGGAGTTCCAGTCATGTGATCGGAGGCTCCAGAATCAATAACCCAAGGATGGGGTGTGGATGATAGACAAGCCATACCTGAGTGTGCGAGAGTGGCCGTGTTCTGCTGAGATGTGGCCTGTACTAACCTCTCATATTCATCACGGGGAATACTCATCATCTCCTTCCCAGCAACATCTGTGGATGTAGGAGGTACCTGATCGGCTAAATGGCTCTCCTGTCTGAACCTACTGTCACTGGTCACGGCATGATTGGCCCAAGTTGAAGGTGGACCATGCAAGTCATAGCAATAATTGATGGTATGTCCATCCAGACCATAGTGTGTACACCTCCTTGGACACGAACTAGTCCTCTGCCACGGGCTCCTTCTGAATCTCAACCTCCAGTACGACCACCACCACGGTTATATGTAGGTCCACTACCACCACTCTGGCCATATGCCGGTCCACTACTACCACTACGGCCAGACTGAGCTCCCCGAGCTCCACCTCTAACACCACAACCTCTGGATACTGCTAGGGCTGATCTATCGGAAATATTAGGGTTCTCGGTAGATCCAATGGAAATCCTTCTGAGTCGAGCAAACACCTATTCTAAGGAAAGAGAGCTGACCCTCCTACTATCTTAGCCCGCACTGGTTCATATTCAGATTTCAGCCCCACCAAAAACCGAGTCACATCAAGTTGTTCTCTCTATTGTTGTTGAATTTTGACATCAGAAGTGGGGGGGGGGGGTGTAAACATTCAATTTATTACGAATGTTTCTCATACTAGCATAGTACTACTCAAGACTCTGATTACCCTGTTGTAGATTAATGTATTCCTGGTACAATTGATATACTCTGGTTGTGTTGTCTTGACCCGAATACAACTTCTTAGCATGGCCCCACACTTATTTGGCAGTATCAAGGAACATGAAATTTATACTAATCTTGGATTCTGTACTATTCCATAACCATGTGATGATCTGTGCATCTGCCTGCTCCCAATCATCTTACTCAGGAGAATCAGTGGAAGGTTTTTCATCCCTTATGTGCTTCACCTTCTTCTTTGCCTTAAGAATGACTTCTACAGATTTGGCCCAAGGTACATAATTTTCTCCATTCAGCTTAATGGAGGTCATTTGAACATTCAGGTACCATCACACTAGTCTTGTTATCACTGTTGTCTCCCATTGCCGAATTCTGATATTGCTGAATTTGGCAAACTGCACACTAGATCACACTACACCCTGATTTCAGCACTTACTACTGCTGCAAATTGCACTATTTACACCACAAACCCAACTCCACGGCTGCCTGAAACTTCCCAACACTGTTTGAGGAACACCCCCCCTTCGAATCACACTGAAGGGTGCACAAACCCTAGCACACTACAATCTGAAATCCCACCATACAGTCTGAAATAGACTTCTCATTTGATTCACACAAAAAAAAATGCATAAAACCTCTTACCTGGTCACTGAAAATCAGACCACACAAGACACCCACTGCACCACACGAATCAGCCCTCTTCTCTTCATCGATTAGGGGAGGACTTCTTAGAAACTGCAGCAACTGACCACAAACACCACAACTGGAGGCATAGAAACCTCCAAGGGAAGAGGGCGATCACTCCTTTTCAGCCCTGTCCCTTATCTCTAGCTGATGGCAAAGAAAATTAGAGAAAACCTAGGTGGGTGCGCAGATAACAGAATTCTGGGCAAACCCGATTTGCTCAGTTTAGCTCTGATACCATGTTAGTGTTCGGTCTGCCTGTTAGACTGATAACAGTCAAGGAAGAGAGAGAGAAGAAAGAAGGAGAGAAAGAGAGAAAGGAGAAGAGCAGAAGAGAAACAAGGAGAAAAGATTCTGGTTCAAATAAGAGAAAAAGTTCACTCTCCCATTCGGCCAGATGTATTTTATATTACTAAAATAATGTGGAAAAGTCACATATGCCCCTACTTAAGTTAGGGACATTAAATCTAACATAAACTTACATCAACACCTAAACACAAGCACAAAGACAAAATTACCCCTACATACTTGACACTAACAATAAGGAATCACCCGAAAAGAGACTAACAACCAGAGGACCCCAATTGGGACAACAACAAACCATAACAAAACCCAAAAACACACAAATGACAGACCTACAGACTCAACAAACCGAACTCAGCCAGAGAACAATAGAAACAACCAAGAAAGTAGTAAGAAACCCCTCAAAACTAAGGTGGCCGCCAACTAGACACCTAATCCAATGATCCTCGATCCTCAGCTTGTGAAACAGACAAGGTCTCAATCTTCGTCCACGAATGCATCTTCCTGCCCTGAATTATCCTTGTCCCAATCTTTGCCTCCTTTTGACTGAGCTTTTCTTTTCAATTTCTCACCCCTTTTCCTCCTCTCAAACTCGTCAAAGGCCCTTCTAGCAAACTCCTCATCACCCCCAAAAAATAAACCCCAACTCTTACTAATTGTGACCTTTCTATTCACTAATTTCTGGAGTGGCATACAGCGAGAAACACCATCCTTATCATTGCCAGTTTGTGACAACAAATTCTCTTCAGCATTAGGGCCGTCAACACCCACCTTGTCTTGTTGTTCCTTCCTCAATTGGGAACCCGAAGATTGAGCCTGCGTCATTGACCCCTTAAGATCAGATCAAGCAGACCCAATACCTTTTGCACATTTTCTTCCATTGACCCATTTATAATTCTTTGTTGCGTCTGTTCCGACCAGACCATGCTTCAACCTGGAAAAGATTTTCGTCACATGCACGACGTGATTTCTTATACTGTGTGATTTTTTGACAGTCACCTCGACAAGTGCCTCCTCCTTCTCCTAGGTGTTGCTTCTTCGGCCCAGATCTACACCCAACCTCCCGACCTTCACTTCCTTAAAGCAAAAATTGTCTTCCATATGAATCTCCTCCTCACCACCAACATTGCTGCTACCATCTGTAATCACCTCTTCTATTTATAGAGAAGTCCTTAACAAAATAGGAAATCACATAATATAAGAGGGAACTTCCCCAAAGTGGGAAAGTTTGTTATTTGGTTAGATCTAGGACAAAGAGTTCACGAGCGGGGTTTCACCACGTGTCGCTATGGAGATCCCAGGGTTTGGTGTCCTGCCCTTCTCCTTGGGGTCTGCATGTGAGCTGAAGTGTAGTTACCACCTTGCTTTTGGAAGATTCCCATGCCTTAGACATTTTTTTGCAACATTAAGGTGCTGGTTTATCATCACAGTTCTTTTGGTGTGTTATACTACTGTACTGTGGTGTTCAGGTAATATGTTGTTACAGACCTTTGTGGGCACGTTATGCTGCTGCGCTGTAGCGCTTTGGTGATATGTCATAGAAGCGCAGAGGATTATTGCATTGATGCATTGAATTGTGGGACGCTAATGTCTGCGGTAAGCTCGGTTGTGTTCTGCACTGTGACAATGGTTTACTATGTCTCATGGCGAGTATGCCTGTTGTGATTTAACCACTGAGTTGGATTGCACTATAAGTCACCAAACTTGGGTTTGTGATGCAACGTGAGTCACTGTGGTCACTTACTCAAGTGTCTACAGCACACTCTCCATAGGGTCTAAATCCATGTACTTGTACCTTTTTTCCATTAGATCAACTCTAAGATTTCAATTGTAATGACTCTACAAATGCCAAATCTGAAGAATAATGTATGGGGCTTAAGCCATCTACACTCCAACTATTTAAGCCAACTGACTATGGCTTCTTATGAAATGTAGTAATTGGGAGGACTACAGCCTTGTTATTTAACTTGGCTGATTTTAGGACTCCCGCAAGTTGAAGAAGGGCCTACAACCCATTACATAATTTGACTGATTTCCAATTTACAAATGAAATTCATTTATCAGATGAAACCAGAATTCTCACTAGAATTTGGCAATGTTGAATAAAAAAGGGTTATCTCTGCTTCTCACAGGGATGTAATCAAGGAGACCCATACACAAAATAATAAAAGCTTTAATTGAGTGAATTATGTTGTATGAAGATTCCCTAAAAATTCTTATGCCAACAGTGGGGCACATTTAGGTGGGATTAACCTCAGGATCACTAGTGGGACAGGACCAAGGGATATCAAACAGAGAACAAATAAGAACTTCCATTAATCTGAAGTTCCGTGGCAAGCCAAGAAACAGGGATGGTTATTCAATGGAATAAAATGACCAAAAAACACCTGAACCCTGATCTCCAGCTCGAACCTACGTGACATCTGCTGTCATACTTAATTAGTTTTGGTTAATGGAAATTGCAACATTGTTAGCCAAATGATAAAATGAGAACCTGCATGCTTTACAACGTAGAGTATTGATTGATATATTGAGAATTATTTGTCTTTCTTTCCTTGTGCTTTGATGGTTTTATGCTCTATGGGGCCCTAAGCAGCTAAGCTCTCCATAAAGTTTATGGACATGCCAGTTCTTTGTGTTAACACCATTCATTTGATAATGGTTGAAGTGGCTGAACTTAATGAGTTATGGCTTTGTCTTTTAGTGGATAAAATAATAAAGTAATAACCAACCCAACTTCATCTTCCACCATTAAGAATCTCACTACCTCTTGAATAACTTCTTAACTAAAAAGAAATCATAAGAAAAAAAATGCAAATCCAATGTAGGTTTAAAATCGCATTATCTATGTAGGAATCTGCATTAAAAATCTTTTGCAACTTTGTAAGTTGTATGTTTCCCATAGTGTTCTATGGTGATTTTTAGATCTTGATCTAAAGTTTGTTTTTATGGGTGCTTTTCCTTTTGTTTTGCTTTCACCTGGAAGTTCCTGACTTCTGATCATATGTACAGGCCTACCTATGCTTGTTGCATTTCCTCAAGATTGTAGAAGTTCAGATTGTCTTGTTAGGTGAGTTCCCAAAGGGTTTGTTAATTTCAAGATGAAAAATAGGTCTCCTGAGTAATTTACTTTTCCATTTGAAGGTGCCAGCTAGCTTGCTGGTAAAGCCTCCGGCTGATCGTGGTTGAAACCTGGGAATGAATCCTGCCTTCACCAGGGTCGGGGCAGGTTGGGGGAGGGCTACTGCAGTACCACCATTGTGTAACCCATTCCCCTAGTGCCAAAAAAAAAGTTGACATTTGAGGTTGATGGCGGAATAGCCCATTTTTCTGTATGCTCAATGCATTTAGAATTGTAAATTCCTCCAATCCACTCAGAAAAAGAAAGAAAAAAAAACATAAAAGAAAATTGATGCTCTTATGAAAGGGATGCTAATGAACTTCATGAATAGGTATCAAGGAGATCTATCAGTAGATGCAGTTTCTGACTGGTTTGCAACAACAATTCTTGGTTTACCTCGTATCTTGTACTACTCAAAGGAGTCACTGGTAATTCTTGAATATCTTTTTCTTGTCAAGTTTATTACTAGTAGCCTTGAACTTGATCTGTCTTACATAGTAAAGCTGCATATGTCAAGTGAAAGTGGGCCTTATTGACAGTAACATCTCAGGATGGTGACTCTTAGGATACAATCTATAGTTGATTTTGGTGCAGAATGCCTTACAGGGATGTCAATGGGTCAGGTTCAGCATGGGCATGGTTCAACCTGAAACCCATCCAATATTACTAAACAAGGACGGGATACTGTGAAAGTTGTGACATACCCAATCCAACTTGTCCCACATAAATTAAATTTATGCTCAACCAAGGCTGTATATACAAATATTTGAATACTGCAATGCCAATGGCCCGGGTTTAGCATGGGTCAGCATCAATCCGAATCTGACCCTAAACCTGATTAAGGCTGATCCAACCCTAACCTGATAGAGTTGGGTCAATATGAGTTTACCATTTAAATTGTCCCACTGACATCCTTGTATTCTTGATGCTTTAATAACAAGAATACTTGGATAGATTATTAGCTTCTTACTGGAATGTCTGATTGTAGTGGTGGCCCAACTATGTTCTTGTTGGTTAGCTAAGAGTAGAATTGAGAGAAAGTTATTTATTTTGTAATTTTGTCTTGTATTCGTCTCTTTGGCCTTCATTCTGCAGTCCTTGCCTTTTCTTTGGTGTTCTGTTGAATTTGGTAATGATGCATCAGTTGAAATGGTTGACTTTTGACTATTTTACTAGTTTGATTTTATCACCCACATTAATTATAAGATGATAGCAGTTCACCTTATAAGTCAGTGACCATGCTGATTTAGCACATCATATTTATGGCCCACTGGAAATGATGTGTAAATATATCTTTATCCCAGGGACAAGATTTCATTGCAAAGAGTGGTCATCATAAGGTACAGGTTCATCCACTCAGTTCCAATATTTCAATCGTATGTATTTATTTTCTTGTATAAGTCCTTGATTATTGGTTGTCAGTATATGTTGGAATCTGGAAGTGTTATTGTCATATTCTGCCCTTGTGAATTATGCTGATTATGAAGTTCTCTTTATATCAGCATACCAACATTAAAGGTTTTAATTAATCCGAGCATAATTAATTCAATATGGATAACTCTTGACTCTTTCTGGTAGTAGGTGATGACATTGTGGGACGGCTGACTCTAACTGATTTAGGACAGGCTACATGAAGATCAATTAACTGTAGCTGATCTTACTCAGTAAACTCTTTACCCTGGGCTGGCTCAACCCTGTTATATCATATATAATCATAACCATAGTATAATCATATAAATATACAACTAAGCCTGTATATATACATTGTGTATATATCATTTTCTGTAGTCAATATTTTTTGACATTGCATTAATAAGCATGGAAATTTATAATCTAGTAATGCAGGCCTGCTTATCTGTCCAGCACTTGGTAATCGGTTGGCTGGACTCATATTTGAAGCCTGGTGGTTAGGACTACAGTACCCCCAATGTTTCTTATATCATGCACTTAACCTACATAAAGTTGAAATTAATTCACTTGTTCTACAAGTAAAGTGGAATTGTAAATGCAGTTGATTGCTGTGAACCATGATCTGGATCATGAACAATTCCTTGTGCTTCACTTCACAAAATGTGGTAGGTTTAAAATGTCAGTGTTGGTGGAAATGCTGATCATCCAAATATAGGAAACATGTTGGAAATGTCAGAAATATTGTGTAAGTTGTAGACATGGTAGAAACATTGTGAAATATGCAAAAATATTGAATGATATTTTATGAAATGGTAGAAGTGCAGACACACCTTTTTAAATTATTATCTTATTCCAAACCATTAAACAAAGCTAAGAAGCCAATTTTGTAGATAAAATAATATGTTGTGAATTTGTACTGTAAACCTTAAGGCTGTGTTTGGTTTGAAAGAAAAGGTGGGGAAAGGTAGGGAAACATATACAAACCTGAATAGGTTTCCCTGCCTTTCCTCTTGTTTTCTTTCAAACAAAACACAGCCTCTGAGTCAAAAGTACATGATAGAATGAGGTCGAGCAAAATTTAAACTCATAGAAAATGTAAATGATTCTAATAGATCAATCAAATAATCTATTACACAAACAAAAACTGTGATTAACTTCATGTTGGAAAAGAATATTGAGCTGGCTCAAAGTTGTAATTATGTCCATTAGGTGGGCAATAACATTGCTACTCCATGTATCTTCAATATTATCATCAACTTACATTATAATACTATCTCTTGTGCTCCACTTAGTGCTGATAGTGTTCATTGAGGAATATGGTGTCAGTATTATTCAATCTAGTTTTGTAATTAAATTTGAAAATTCTTGGTTTTCCTTTACAAAACTTTAACTGTTTTACCTGATGCCAATTGTGTTTGATCATTTTTGCTTAGTCTACAATATTACTTTTTAGTCTAAGTGGGCCATATATTGTTTGTTTGTTATATAAACTGCCTAAGACAAATGTAAGTAGTTCTTTCATTATGGTATAGCTGTAGATCTGTGCATGATATATTTGACATAACCCATGAGCCTGCATGAAGGACCTTGAAAATAGAAAAAAGTAAGATTTTAAGTAAAAAACTAATATAGCAAGACAACAAGGGAATATGTATATAATTTTCTTCAGGTCTTTGATGAATCCTGCTACCTGATGACCAGAAGATCCCCTTAACATTTTCAGTCTAAAGCCAAGGCATAGGTACCCTATTGTTTGCTTGAGATTCAAGTGTATTAGTGTTTTGTTTGGTTTAAACTAAAGTCAAGCTTGAGAAACAACTGATGGTCTTGTGGTTATTAATCAGTCTCCATACTATTGGAGCCCCAGATCTTTCTATGTCTGTCTGTCTGTCTGTCTCCCCCCCCTCTCTCTCTCTCTCTCAATTTACCACAGGTCCATTTGATGGACACATGACCACCTGGTTCTAAATTGCATAGTTCTAGGGCATTTAAATGCACATATATTCATCTACATGGAATCAATTATGAAATGACAACGAAAGGCCATAGTTAGGTTATTCTGTTATACACTGATCCTTGAAGTTCAGAAACACCACTGTTTTAATTGGCTTAATATGCCGGTGCCCACAACAGAATAAAGTGCTTGCATTTATTTCTAAATGTACACTTTGCATAGTAATCCATGTACTAAAGGAATTATAAACCAATTTCACATAGGCTACAATTCCATCACTTAACGAGACTGTTTTTATAATGTAATTTTTCCATTCAATTTGTAGGAATATAACCCACTTGTTGGTTGTCTCCATAAATTTTCCATGGAAACAATGCCACATAACTTAGATTTTATTACTTAATTATTGTTTCAGGCATTTCCATGTAATAACATCCTAGTTGTTTGCTATTTCCGATTTATAGATAAAGGTTATTTGCTTCTCAAAAACTGGGGAGCGTGCTGCACCATTCCTGCGTCAAGCTGCTAGGGACTATTGGGCTTATGCCTCCTTTGCATTTGTCTTATGGAGAGAAGAGGAATCTTCCTTCTGGTGGAACATGTATGTTAATAGGCTGCATAAATAATGGTTATGCTCTTTGTTTTAGCATAATCTATCTGATTGGTTTTTATTCCATAAAGGGTTTTTTTTTTTATATAGAAAGTTGATTCCATTATCTGCCAAGCAATAGGATTTGATATAATATTGAGGGCTTTAGAAAAGGAGTACCAAGAAGGTATGTGGACCTAATTTAGGACATATATGAGGGTGAACAACTATGTTAGAAGGAACAGCTATTGGAGAGACATCAAACTTTCAAGTTATAATGGGACTTCACCAAGGTTAAAAAAAGGTTCAGCATTCAGCCCTTATTTGTTCACACCATTCCTTTTTTAATTCTTTATTTTGTGCTTGTGTGTGTGATAGGCACACAGCTAGGCCTATTACCACTAATCAGCCCAGCAGCATGATACCCATACAGTCTTATCCGAAGACCTATGTGAGGGGACCACGCCAGCTAGTTAGTTACAACTGAGAGCATACCCCCATGTGATGTAATAAGGGGCTCTAAGTAACAGAATAGCAATAAAGGAAATAGTAGAAAGCTTGCTGAATTAAAAAATATGAAATAAAAGGAGTTTCTTGAAGAAGGAAGGAAGAGAGAAGGAGAAGAAGAGAAGTTGAAAAGAAAGGAGAGCAATAATCTGGCCGCCCCCTTCACTTATTATTTATACTAAAAATAATAAAGCAGTACAAAGACAACTATGCCCTTATAGGGCGGCAAGACATAAAACAGCATATATAAGACACTAAAACATAATAAAATTTGGACTCACATAACTACTGTGGTCTCGACCTCCTATCTAACAACTAACATAAAACATCTACTCATAAAAAACATCATAAAACTGATTAATCTTCAACAGAAATCACCTTTTGAGCACCAAAATCATCTTCTCTTCTCTTTTCTTTTGTAGGAGGCCTAAGCTCCCTCGAAGAAGCTCCTGAGGTAGGCAGAACCCTACCAAGTGGTATCAGACACCACTGAGACCAAGGCGGCTCTCTTAGCGGTCTTGGCCAAGCTGGAGAAGGCGACAATCAGCGAGAACACTAAAGGCGAGGGAGAAGGAAGCAGCCAACCCAACAACCGATCTGGAGGAAATGGAGTGTTGTGACAGACCAAGATCACCTTCCCAAACTTTTTAGGTGAGGAACCTATACTGTGGATTTGTCGGGCTGAGAGGTACTTTGAGTACCATGAAATACTAGGGAATCAGAGGGTTTTAATCGCTGCTATCCATCTGGAAGGAGAAGCAGTTCTCTGGTTCCAATGGTTTCGCTGATCACATCCCCAAGTGACTTGGGCGGATTTCGTCGATGCTCTATGTGTGCAATTTGGACCCACTAGATTCAAAAACTATGATGAACAACTTGCTAAATTGAGACAGATTGGTTCAGTGAGAGAATATCAGGTGGAATTTGAGCGTTTATCCTCTAGGGTACAGGGGTGACTGGAAAATGCTCTGTTAGGCAGCTTTATTGGAGGATTGAGGGAGGATATTCGGGTGGAGGTGAAATCCATGCAACCTCCGACAGTCATGGCTGCGGTAGGACGGGCCAGGCTTTACGAGGAAAAATTCGGTAGACTCAGAAGAACACTGAGTTGTCCTCAGGGACCCCTTTTGAAGACTCCTATAATGGGACGCAACCCGAAAGACAGAACCGACCCAAACCCAACCATTATGGGACCCACTAAACTAGAAACCCAAGGCTTCAAGCCCAATGTCCCATACAAAAGGCTAACATGGGCTTGAGATGCAAGCTCGTAGGGGAAAGGGCCTATGTTACAACTGTGATGAACGATTCGGCCCAAGTCACTGATGCAAGGCCCAACAAGCTTTCTTGCTACAAACAGATGGGTCGGAAGAGGAAGAGCATGCGGTGGAGGGTCTTGAAGAAAATAACCCAAGTAGCCTTGATATGATATTCGGGCTTGGCCTGCCCAAGATTTCCTTACAGGCCCTCACTGGCCTCACGTCACTCCAAACCATGCGTGTTATGGGTCGGTTGAAGGGTCGGGAGGTATCTGTTTTGGTGGATAGCGGGAGTACGATGAACTTCAGTTCTAATGACTTGGACATCCAGATGGGGGTAACCATTAGACCCACCTCTAAATTCAATGTTCAAGTTGCCAACGGTAATCAGATACCATGTTAAGGGGTCTGTAAAGACAAGGAGCTAATCATCCAAGGGGAGGTTTTTGCGCTGATCTATACACATTGGCTTTCAGTGGGGCCGACATCATACTTGGGGTATAGTGGTTGCAACAATTGGGATGGGTGGTTTGTGATTGGTCCAAACTGACCATGGAATTTCAAAGAGGAGACCGACCCATAACTCTAAGCGGGTCCAAGTTGCTGATCCCACAACCAGCTATCCTCAGCTCCATAATCAAAACCAGTTGGGACCTAAACCGGCCCACATCTGAAGCCCACGCTCAACGGTGGTGCCATGTGTAGCCTAGATCCACTGCTACAAGAAGTATTGGCCAAGTATCCTGAAGTCTTCCAAGAACAACTTGGGCTTCCTCCAGAGAGAGCTCATGACCATTGGATACCCATTGTACCGGGTGCAGCACAGCAAATGTCCGGCCCTACTGGTACCCATACTATCAGTGCCAAGAAATTGAGTGCTTAGTGGAAGACCTCCTACAAAAGGGCTTCATACAACCCAGCAACAACCCATATTCTTCCCCAGTTATACTAGTGAAAAAGGACGGTTCTTGGCGGTTTTGCGTGGATTAGGGCATTGAATTTCATTACAGTTAAGGACCGGTTCCCCATTCCCTTGATCGATGAGCTGCTAGATGAATTACGAAAGGCCCAGGTTTTCTCAAATCTGGATCTTAGGTCAGGGTATCATCAGATTCGAGTCCACAGTGGTGATGTGCATAAAACGACTTTTAGGACTCACAATGGCCATTACGAGTTCTTAGTCATGCCACTCGGTTTGTCCAATGCACCGTCAACCTTCCAATCACTCGAGAATGACATTTTCAGGCCCTATCTTCGTAAGTTCATTTTAGTATTTTTTTTTTATGACATTCTTATCTATAGATCTAATTGGTAGCAACATCTCCTACATTTGAAACTAACCCTGGATGTGCTAAGGCAAAATCAGCTTTCGGCCAAGCTCTCCAAATGCGTCTTTGGGCAGGGTAGAGTACATTATCTTGGTCACGTGGTGGAGGAAGGGGAGGTGAAGCCCGATCCTGAGAAGGTTCATCAGAAACTATGGGCTGATGGCAGCACCACTGACCCAACTCCTCCGGAAGGAAGCCTTCTACTAGACAGCGGAGGCCCAACAAGCCTTCAACTCCTTGAAGACAGCAGTTTCCACTCCGCCCACATAGCAAAGTTCTCTCCCCTTGCGCCAAGGCCCAATCCACCTATGTTAAGGAGCTAATGGCTGTCGTCCTATCAGTCCTTAAATGGTGCCACTACCTTCTTGGACGACGCTTTGTCACCAGAACTGATAAACAGAGCCTCAAATATCTGCTGGAGCAGCATCTCCTTACGGAAGAACAACAAAAATGGGTGTCTAAGTTGTTGGGGTTTGATTATTTGATAGAATACAAGACTGGAGCTTCTAATCGGGTAGCAGATGCCCTGTCAAGGCAAAATGAGTTACAATTGATGGCAGAATCTAGACCCGTGTACCTGCTACTGGAGGTTCTTAAGCAGAAGATATTGAACAGCGAAGAGCTGGGGGCTATCAAAAGAAGGTGGGCCGAGGATCCAACCAAAACGTCGGGCTACATCTTAAGGGACTCCCTCTTGTACTATAAGGGAAGACTGGTTCTACCTTCATCATCTCCACACATTGCGGAACTTCTACAGCTGTTCCATTCCTCCGTTGAAGGCGGTCATTCAGGGGTACTAAGGACTTGTCGTCGCATTGCGACACACTACTATTGGAGGGGAATTAGGAGGCATGTGCAGACCTTTGTGGCCAGCTGCCCAACCTGTCAGCAGCAGAAATATGATACTCAACAACCAGCTGGGCTCCTTCAACCCCTCAAGATACCAAACCAGGTTTGGGATGATGTCACCATGGATTTCATCACTGGTTTACCACCCTCTCAAGGCAAGACAGTGATCGTGGTGGTAGTGGACAGACTTAGCAAATATGCCCACTTCTCAGCCTTGTCACACCCATTCACAGCAGCACAGGTAGCAGATCTGTTCGTGAGAGACATCACAAAACTGCATGGAACACCAGCCTCCATTGTCTCTGACCGGGATCCTCTATTTATGGGAAGATTTTGGCAGGAGTACTTTAAAATCCAAGGGACACACCTGACTCACTCCACTAGCTATCATCTCCAATCCAATGGGCAGACAGAGGTAGTTAATAGTTGCATCGAGACCTACTTGAGGTGCTTCGTGGGGCAGAGACCAAAATAGTGGTTGAAATGGTTATCCTGGGCAAAACTATGGTACAACTCCACCTTCCATGTGACTACCGGGATGACACCTTTCAAGGCCTTGTATGGGAGAGACCCCCCTGCCATTCTCCCCTACGAGGCAGGCTCCACAACAGTAGCTGCAGTAGATGAGTACCTCACCAGCCGAGACTTAATCTTGCTAGAGATTAAGAACAATCTGCAACAGGCTCAGCAGGTAATGAAGGATACATATGACCGCAAGCACCACCCCTTGGAATTTCAGCCTGATGACATGGTTTACTTGAAGCTTCAACCCTACCGGCAGACCTCAGTAGCCAAGCGAGCTTGGCAGAAATTGGCTCCCAAATTTTATGGACCCTTCAAAATCCTTGAAAGGGTCGGGTCAGTCGCCTACAAGATAGAACTACCACCATCCTCCAAACTCCACCCCGTCTTTCATGTTTCCCTACTCAAGAAACAAGTGGGTCAAGAGCACAAAACTCAGGCAACCCTTCCAGCTCTCACTGAGGAAGGAGTCGTGATCATGGAGCCCCACAAGCTGATAGACTTCCGTTGGGTACGCAAAGGAAGGTACTACATAGAAGAGGCCCTG